GTTGCTGTCTCTTGTGTCCAGGTGGGATTGAGAACATAGATCATTTGCTGGTTTATTGTTCTTACTCATGCTCTGTTTTGAAGCTCTGTTTGAAAAGTCTGCCTCCACCAGCAGTAGGAGGCTGGGAAGCAACGGTTTCTTGGTGTGCAAGGGAATGGAAGAAGAAGACTGCTAAAGCGAGTATCTGCAGAGTGCTGTGGAGTGATGCTGTGAGCCACATATGGCGTGAGCGATGCTCCCGAATGTATGGAATTAAGGGCGTCAAAGACCCTGCTATGTTGGTGAAGCTGATATACGAGGAAGTTACTTACCGAGTTTGTGAAGATCCTGCCCTCCAGTTAGAATTAGATAGCATTGAGTAAAAAATATAGATAGGAGTTGATTGTAAGTATTGTTACTTGCGTTGTTACTGTTTGAGAGGCGCTGCAGGGTTCCTTCTACAAGTGGCCTGTACTTAATGCAATTTTTGATTCACATAAAAAAAACTTATAAACAACAGCTTACAACTATGCGGTATTTGAAACTACAAAATTGAAACAGGCATATACCTTAGCAAGTGGCTCCTAAGGTTCCACTGGTTGTCAGCATAATGAGAGGTTACAACCATATAAGCCCTCTTTTGACTACTTGTTGTCCACATATCAGTTGTGACAACAATTCTGCTTTTGTTACTATCAATCACCTTTTGCGTTTTTTTCTCTCTCAATAGCATACACTGCAAGAATATCACTCTTGCAAGTGTTCCTACAAGGAACTTTGAACAAAGGCTATAGAGAATTATAGAAGATTTTGAAGTACAAGTGATCCACCATTCCAAGTGGATACTCGTGCATCAAAACCATAGTAGCAAGTTCCTTCCTCGAGACCTCTGCATTAAACTGGCCAGTACACATTTCTTTCTTCCCAAGAACCCCATTAGGGAGAAAATTAGTGGCAATTATCTTCTGATTGCCATCATGAATTTGTTTCAGAACACAAACCTTCTTATGGTTCCTCAAATGAGAGGTACCATTGCTGGTGTCACTACCAAGAACCTTACGATAGTACTTGCATATTGCTTTCATCACACCATATTTATCCACAAACCTTGTAAAGTGAGGCCAAACATCACTTTTCAGTGGACGTTTGGCACCAAAAGGAAGGGGAGATGGTTCTGCTTCACCAGCAGCAGCAACATCAACATTGCCATTCACAGCTGCTGCTGCATCACCAGCAATCACTGGTTGCTGCTGCTGGGGTTCAGACAGGGGATGAGGGTTGGAGGGTGGGGTTGGTTGCCCCTGCCATTATCTTACCTCACCTGTTCATCAATCACATGAGAAAGCAAACCTTAGATTAGGCAGTAGCTACTGGATTAAGTACCCTAAATCAATAGAAAATTTAAACTAGCAAGAACCCATACAATCGAATAAAGAACCAATACCTTCGTGAATAATCAATGAACACTTCAACAATCCAGACGAAAACCTTGAAACCCTAACATAATACAAGAAAATAACCATCTGTTAGACATGAGAAATCAGACAAGCACTTGAACGAAATCTTGCAAATCCCAAACTACAGGCAAGAAGAACACTTACGGTTTGTGCTCCTTGCAATTGTTGTGACGGGAAATGGGAATTGCATGCAACTACTAGTTCCCTCAATCCCTCGTGAGTGGTCTGTGTTCTGAGAATCTGCAAGGAAACACACAATTACAGTATTTATAGGCGCATGCATGAAGGAGAAGGAGAAAGAAAAGATGAACTCGAAATCAAAGAGTCGATAAAGGGAAAGTGGCGCCATAATCGCCATCGGGAATGGCTCGATTTGAAAAATTCGAAGGGCCTCAAATGATTGATTGGGTATCTGCTCTGGTGATCAATGAATGTAGGGATTTTGTGCAGTATTTCTCGACAATCTAAGAGCAAAATGCGAGATTTGAGGAGAAGGAGAAGGGTTAGGGAGGGGCTTAGAGTTGGGGATTAGGTTTTCAGAGCGGTGTTAGGTTAAATGGAGTTGGGTTTTTTTGCGAAATGAGCTGGGGTGTGGTTGCTGAATCGAGGGTAAGCGGGTTTCGGGTGTTATCGGGGCAGATACCACCAAACCGACAACCACCCGACAACCGGCTATATCGAGTTTTGGCTTCACCGTTACCCATCAATAACCTGTTTGACCAGATTTTAACCGCCAAAAATCAGGGCGGGTACCTGGAATTCGAGTCACATTGCCAAGCCTACACCTAGTCCTAATAACCGAATCCTACAACCTTCGAAAGCGATTGGACTCATCTCTCCTAGTGCTCTAGAATTGCTGTCACTAGAACTTTTAAGTTATTTTTTTCGTGGTTAGGTATAATTATTTTCAACGGTATTTCAACGACGTAGAATGGGAATAAAGCGAGAAGGAAAATAAAAACGAACATGAAAGCTAATCATTTTGGTGATTCGTGCTAATTGGTGATGAAATGAGGGGAACTTCGCTTTATTTAACATCTAACAAGATTGCTCATGATTCAATTAGAAGTGGTGTAAGATTTGTGGGGTTGATCAACTATAATTTTCCCAGCTTAATTCTTTGTCCAAGCATATAGCCATATACTCAAACAGGCACACTAGAGAATCTAGGCCACTCTATGAAAGTATGACAAAGGTATAGTGGAGCTTCTGCTAACTTACTTTATTAGTGCTATAATCTTTCTTTCTTCGTTTATCACTATGATATTTGTTTTATGGCGCACGCCAATCTTAATCCCAATGATTAGCATTCAAAATCAACTGATCACACTCACTCCATTGTGGACTTATCACTTGGTGACTTGGTGTTCTCTGTTCCATTGCCTATAACATAAAGTGGGTTCCAATTTCCAAAAGCGGGGAATTTGCGTGGAAAGCAATAATCCTCTTTACCCGAATCAATCAAGAGCTGAGACTAAATAGACTTAGAAGCAAATCGAAAACATGAAAGAATAATAGTGCTCTCTCTTTTCAAGCATGAGAAAGCAGCAGGAAGCAAGGATAAGGACCAAAAAGAAACATGATTATAGTCTCTCCTCAAAAGGATTCTTGAATTTCAAGGGATGTTTTACTCTAATTTGATGGTGATATCTAGCACGTCATAATTACAAGAAGGTTGAGATCATGTCGAGATTTTGGATCCACTTGATAGAAATACACTTATATATAGTTCTTACCTGAACCAATAAACTTTTCGATTATCTCTTCGTGATAGAAAAATATAATTTGATTCACATTGCAAAGCAAAAAAGCAACGTCATGGTCATGGATATAGAAATAAATCACATACATTGAGACGTTTCTGTTTGATGTTTTCTTAACCAATCCAAGAAGATGATACATGGAAATGCCATCAAATGATATGCAAGTGGCTAGGAAGGATGCATCAAGAAGAGCTATTGCCTCAGTTTCAATGGGGGGTACGAACAGATTAAAAAGAGCTCATGGCCACCAAATAGTAACCTTGTATAACAACAAGAACATAGGATGAGGACAGTGCCAAATGCAATACGCTAACGAAAAACATGATGAACCAAACACAAGATAATTTTTTAGGGATATATACACTCCCACCATGAATTAGCTACCTGTTTGTTCATTTCCATAAACAGAACTCCAGAAATTGTTTATTTTCTATGAAATTAAGGGAAGTGTCACTAACCACTACGCCACTACTCGTTAGTGTAGTGATAAAAATAGAATAGGATTCAATTGGCATGATTCTTCATTCGATACAATTTCGTAAAAAGAGACCCCCAAAACCAGACGGAAAGAAAGAATCAACCTCTCCTCTCCTCATCACTCATCACCCACGTTCATCCATCTTCACTTCTGAAGACACCCCCAAAGCCCAAAACGCCAAAACCATTATTTTTCTGAATTTCATCACTCCCCATTAGATTAATTAAAAATTAGTCAATATCAAAAAGCATATTATTATTATTATTATTATTATTAGTCATATATAATATAATACTCAGCTAAGCTAACAACAGTACCCACCTTACTCATACTATGCTACCACTCTCACTAGTTTTTTGTACGATGCAACAATGGCGGTTTTGATAAGTGGCCAAAGCACACAATTTGAGCCGCAGTGTGACTCGGAAAGCAAGGAAACAATTTAACAGCCCAACCTCCCCAAATGCTTCAATGGAATCTCTCTCCCTCCCTCCCTATCCTCTCTAGTCTGTTCTGGCAAACGGCTCGCAGAAAAGGGGGAAAGAGGGTAGACGGCTCACTGGAATTAATTTGTAAGCTAGTCAGCTAATAATTTCCATGGCGGAGAACAGAAAACTAGAAGAAGGGGAGGCAAAGGAAATGAAAGAAGCCGAAGCCGATCGATGACCAACCATTTTCGCAGAAAAAATCTGGGGGCGGGCCATTAGATATGTGTAACTAATTTGACTCGTCAATTAATCTCTCAATAATAACTGATTAACAGTCGCAATTAATTGGATTAATTAAAAGCGGAGCAACCCCCAAGCTCCGATCACCTCCTCCGGTTAAGTTTCAGATGTACGGAAGCCGACGGAGATAAAAATAATCTTAAACAGAAGATTTACGGATACTATTTACATGTGCAGTATTATGGAAATTTATTTATACAAATGGAATGATGGATCTTCTTCTTCTTCTTATTGAATCTTCCTCCTCTGGCTTCGAAATCCTCTGCTTGGCTGCCTAGAAAATTGCCTAGAAAGAGAAGGATCTGAGGACGGTAGTTTGGAATACCGGAATCGACCGGCCGATTCTCACTCCCGAACAAAATTGCCACCAGGGAAACATCGAGATCCCGAAAAAACCAGATGAGAGAGATGAGTGTGGTGTTGATTTGGACCTGTAGACCCCTGGGCGCCGTCCGTCAATAATTGGATCTCTCTGTATCTCGAATACAGATCTCCAATCTTCATCGATTGATTCCTGCCGATCGAATCTCCTCAACCGTGGCGGTCACTCAAACAGATTTCTTTCAATTTTTCTTCTCCCGAATCTGGATTGTTTTCAAGAATCGCTGTAATCGCGCCAGCAGATGAGCATGGTGACGCACCGCCGCATGATGTAGAACCTAGCGCGCTGCTCCTTCACCAGCCTGGCGCACTTCCTCGTGAACGAGCACCTCCTGTGCGACGACGACGTCGTCGACGAGGAGAAAGAATTCCTCATCAGCGGCGCAACGGCGGCGGGAGCGCCGGTACAAGATCGAGAGCTCCTGGAGGAGGACTCCTTCTTGGAGAGCTTCCACTTCTCGTCGAAGTAGAACTGCGGTGGCGCGCTCGTGCTGTGGCTCAGCGTGCAGACTGCTGCCGCCATTGATTTTGGGATCACGGATTCAAAGATGAGGAAGAGCAAAAGTAGGTGTAAAAGAACAGAGAGGGATCTGTTGGATGAGAGAGAGAGAGGAAACTGAGTCAGAGAGCGAGTGGAGTGAGTTGAGTGAAGGATTGAATTTGCAGAGTGGAAGGGGAGATGTGGGTTAGGGTTAGTATTTATAATAAGTTAAAATCACAGACGGGGCGGGTGTGGCAGTGGGTATCACCTGGGCCTTCTGCGCCTCGGTAGGCCCACCAGCTTTGGACCGAGGCAGAGGGGAAACTTAAAATTAAATTAACAAATAAAATATAAAATAAGGAGGGATTTTTAATTTTTTATTCTCTTAAATGGAGGTGGGTTCCCGATGAGCACGTCATCAGTCATGGGAGGGAGAGTAGAGTAGGGCGGGAATTTAATGGTGGGAAATCTGAGTGATGGAGGAGGGCGATGCAGTGAAACTGTAAAAATATTTGTAGGTAAGAAAAGATTTTTTACAGGCTGAAGAAGCTTTTGTTTGAGGTGAAAAGGAGAGGTGAAGATAAAAAGGTAAACTAAAAAGAAAAGGGAAATCACATGAGAAAGAGGGTGAGGTGGTGATGGTGAAGATTGAAGTCTTTTATTTATTAGGCTATTCATTCTAGTTCTAGTTGCTAGCTCCAGCCTCTGAATCATTAGTCGATTTCTTGGTAATTGGTGGATCGATGGATGGGTCAGTTCTTTTTGACGTGGAAATTTCAACTTGTGATTTTGTGTAGATTTGTTTTTTGGAGTCAGAAAAAGGTTACCCATACTATCATTAATATTTGGCATATTATTAAGCAAGATCCAGAAAAGAACGGTTCTCCATTCCGTTTTATCTTATCATGTGGAAATTTGTGGATATATGGAGGAGAGAAAAGGGTAAGGTTTATTTATTTATATTAAGGCATATGTTCATCATTCATGATTTTGGGTAAGCTTTTAGTTAATAACTGATGCGATATGGATCCACTAATAGAGTCATTTATGAGTGAGTGTCTGATATCACAATCTGACAAACTAATCGAATGGTATTAAATAAAAGAATGCGGCCCTTGTAGACAATACAATTCAATAAAAAAGATTGCTTCTTTATAAATATTAGTCGTTTTGACTTTTTCATATTGGACGAGAACTGAAGAACAATGTTGGCATGTTGATGGTGTGCAGGTCCGAGATCGACAAGGAGTTGGACCGCAATTTTTGGAAACGATTTGTAGCTCTATTATGTGGTATCCTAACTTCCAAGCTAGCTCCATGCGTTGGAGGGCAGTTCATAGCTCGCACAAATGATTGTACATTTTTTTTTTTAATTCATTGTGTCAATTCCCAAATTACACAATCACACCAAATTCATTTTTACTTCTATAATAGCTCCAAACCAAACCTACCCGATGTATGCACTATGATTCTAAAATCGGTGGAATATCAACCACTAATTAGTAATTTTCCATCAAACAAACCAGTTCGTTGGAAAGAACAGTGACTTGCACAATTTGTATTTTGGTATGCCATTGAGTGGAGCGGAAGAGGTATATATATATAGGGAATATCCTTGATTAAAATAAGAAAGATACGTTTCCCTAAACCAAATTTATGCAACTAAAGAAAGGTTTCAGTTGCAATCCGATGACTGTAATTAGGAAGCAAATTAGGCTAAATAAATAATTTGGGTAGATGATATTGATAGTGATATTTGGATAAGCTTTAATTTTCAGTCAGCTTTTGGCTCCTGCCCGACGTTGCATGATGCAGAGAGCAACTAATAATTTGCTTAATCCGCGCGTTGCGTGATTATCATGATCTGGAATTGGACTTGGGCAATGAGATATTATTTAATATAGTAGTAGTTCCAAAACAAACAATAATCATGTTCTTAATTAACTAATTGCAAACAGCTTCCTGTTCAATATTTTTTTTTTGTATGCAACATTGACAAACCTATGACACGTGTATTCTCCCCGGTGGCTCTTACCGAAATAATTACCAAACGGAATCGACAATGAGCAATCGAGGATAAATAAAAAACGACAAACTAATCGTTGTTCGAATTCATTATCTTGGAAATTATGTAGTATCGTAAAAATCACTCGGTAATGACGATGGTGATTAATTTCTTGTTTTCAGAAGATGGACTTGCTATATGAAGGAATCAAGCGTACCAAGCAGGTGTCAAAGTTTCACTTGTTAGTAGTTAAGAGTGAAAATTGTGGAAGTTAAAGAAAAGGAGGGGAAGAAAGGAGAAATTACCTTGGGCCAGAAGAAGAAAAGTGAAACGGGGGAATTTCTTGAAGTGGGACAGTACAAGAAGCCACCGTCCACACACAGGCCCAGAGTTATGACCCAAAACCCCCGCCCAAGCCAACAGGCAACAGCCGTTTCTTACCTTGAAATTATAAGGGTTAATACCTTAGTTTGGCCCGAACTATACACAAACTTTCTACTTTGGTCCGTGGTTTTCGAAATTGCTATCCTGGCTTGAACTATGTATCATACTTCCTAACTTGGCCCAGAGCCGGGTTTGACCGTCAAATTGGACGGTCAACTCCATTGACCATTAGTCAATGGACAACTCATTTGCCACGTCAGCGAGCATGGAATAAAAAAATTTATTTTTTGAATATCTATATTCATAGCTTTTTTAATAATAATAAACAAAAAAATTAAATAAACCAATTTATCACCGCCCCTCCCACCTGGGAATTTTTTTTTTTCAAACCCCCTTCTTCCCCTCAAACCCTATTCCATCCTCCTTCCCCTTCGCCTCCGCAGCCGACAACCCTTCCCCGCCTCTTCTCCAACGCTTCCACCGCTCTCCACCGCGCCGATTTTTCCCTCGCCGTGAATCACTAGGGGCCATCGAGGATGACGTCGCGGTGGGAAATCAGCGACGGTTACCAGAGTGTCTTTCTCACATTTATTCTCGATGAACTTCCCGTTGTCGGCGGCGCTCATCCCCAACGGCAGGGAGAATAGCGCGTTCGTGAACACGAGTATCGACTAGAAGGAGACGCCGGAGGCGCACGTGTTCAAGGTGGATCTGCCGGGGCTAAGGAAGGAAGAGGTGAAGGGGGAAGTGGAGGACGACAGGGTGCTTCAGATCAACTGGGAGAGCAACGTGGACAAGGAGGTTCAGGCTGTCGGATAAAGCCAAGATGGATGAGATCAAGGCCGAATGGAGAACGAAGTGCTGAAGGTGTGGGTGCCCAAGGCCGAGGTCAAGAAGCCCGACGTAAAGGCCATCGAGATCTCTGTTTAATTGAAATTTGACTAATCCCATCGTTAAGAGCTTGTGCTTTGATGTTGATCAATAATGGGATTGAGTTGGGAATCTGGTCTGTGTGGTGATGTATATAAGTATATGGTGTTTGAGTTGTCGATGGCGGAGGAGAAGATGAATTTGGGTTTTGGGTTTTGGGATGCAGGGGGAAGAAGTGGGTTTGGTTAATAGTTTTTCCCAATTTTATTGAATAGGTTAAAGGTTTTCCCCAATTCAGGTGAGAGGGATGGGAATAAATTGGGGTTTTATTAATTTATTTATTATTATTATTATAAAAGAAAATTAATCTAAAAAAAATAATACAGAAATTTAAAAATAAATTTTTTATTCAGTGTTCACTGACGTGGCAAGTGAGCTGGCCATTGACTAACGGTCAACTCTGTTGACCGTCCAATTTGACGGTCAAATTCGACTCCCGGCCAAGTTAGCAAGTATAATACATAGTTCAGGTCAGGATAGCAATTTCGAAAACCACGGTCCAAAGTAGAAAGTCTGTGTATAGTTCGGGCCAAACTAAGGTATTAACCCAAATTATAATACCCTTTCTGAAAAATCTCTTTTTAGTTTTTACCCTCAGTAAGTTACTATATTACTACATGCTGTTCGTATTGCCACGTACAGAATACGACCAGGCCTCCACGACCACGACTCACCCACCCAAATCCCACAAGCCACGACCCTTCAATTTCCTCTGTTTTTTCACCAATCCACCTTTTACTGTCTGCTTTTTCTACCTTCATGCGACGTCACGAAGTTGACCTTCCTAGGTAAATTAGAATACTTCCACCTCATACTACCGAACTGTATCATTTATGTAGCAGTTTAAATCTCCAACCTTCCATTTCTACTAGGCTGACTCCAATGCAGCCTGCATTTATGTAGTTCTCGCTATTAATGGCGATTTTGGAGCTCCAACACAGAGCCGAAAAATGGTGAAAATCGCCATTTATGGAGGGCATCGGCATCTGGGTCGCTAAATATGGGGGAGGGAATGCCGAAGTCGGCATTTATGGGGATTGGAAGAATTGTTGGGCACGTGCAAGGGAGAGCATGAAAGGTGTAATTAATGGTAGAAAGGTGTAATTAATTGCTTGCTAATTAATGTGATTAATTAAGGGAAGAAAGGAAATGTGTAATTAATTGCTGGATGACACAACAAGTGTTGTGTGTAATATTTAAGCTTTATTATTAGCAAGTATTGTGTGCAACCTATGAATTGTACCATTTGAATTATTATGTCAACTCATTAAGTTTTATCATTTTTAAGTGTTGTGTGTAAACCCAAATTAGGTCCTTAATTTTTCGCTAAAAAAAATTCGGTCTCGAAATTTAACAAAATTCTATCGAAAAATTTGTATTTAAAAATGACGACGAACTATACAAAAATTAACATGAACAAATTATATTAAAGTTTCGATAAATACATTTTTAAATAAATGGAAAAACTCGAAATATTAAGACTCCAAATATGGAGTTTGTTCATTGGAGCAAAAGAAGGGAAAATGGGGTTCAATCCCCAAATTTGGAGTTCAAGGCCCCCAAATTTGGGGTTTTGCATTGGACTTGGCCTTAGTCAAATTAACCCACCCTGTAACTCATCATAATATTAATAGTGTGGAAACTAGAAATCTCATTCTTGTCATATGAGAAATAGTAAAATTATAGCGACAAGACACACGATATTTACGTGGTATCCTCGATCGTTTGACGATCTAGACTAATCCACGGAGGGTTCAACACCCTCAGCTATTCTCTTATTAAGATCAAAGAACTTGGCGGCTAGTGGCCAAAGTACAAGAGTATTTATACACATTCTCTACAACAACTAGGGTATTATACGAAGAAGCATCTCTTCGTACTCGTATGGGAGTTGGAGACCAAACGACGTGTACATTAGGCTAAACAGCGACTGCGGGCCGAGCCTCTTCCGTCTTCTCGTGTGTTTCTCGGCCCAATACTCCCCCGCAAGCTGAATGGTATAGGTCACGAACGTTGAGCTTGGACAGAAGAAACTAAAACTGATCACCGCCCAGTCCTTTGGTAAGGATATCAGCAAGTTGTAGCTCAGTGTGCACCTTGATTGGAAGTACTTCACCTGACTGGACACGCTCGCGAACAAAGTAACAGTCCATCTCGACGTGTTTAGTTCGCTCGTTGAAGACATGGTTATTTGCAATGTGCAATGCCGCCTGATTATCACAATGCAAGGGTGTGGAGGTCGTGTGGTGAACACCTAGTTCACGCAAGAGCCACCGAAACCAAATGACTTCACTAACCGTACTGGCCATCGCACGGTACTCTGTTCAGGGGAAGAACGAGCAACAACGCGTTGCTTCTTAGTGCGCCAGGACACCGGTGCACCTCCGAGACTGATGAAATAACCTGTAGTGGATCGACGAGTGCTCTGACAGCCTCCCCAATCTGCATCACAATAAGCCGTCAAGCGAAGAGGATTATTCGAAGGAAAAAATGAACCTTGGCCTGGTGAAGCTTTGAGATAACGAAGTATGCGATAAGCAGCATCCATGTGCATGGGACTGGGAGCATGAACAAACTGACTGAGTATATTAATCGCATAAGTGATATCTGGCCGCGTAACAGTCAGATAAAGAAGACGCTCAACGAGTCGACAATAAGGAGAGGGATCCGCTAGCACCTCATCAGTTGGACGTGTCAAATGGTGATTTTGTTCGATGGGAAATGAACTCGGCCGAGATCCTTCCACTCCAGCATCCTCCAGTATGTCTAAAACATATTTTCTCTGGCTGAGAGCTACCCCATCAGCCGTGCGCGCCACTTCAAGTCTTAAGAAGTACCGCAGGATGCTCAAGTCTTTGATACTAAACCTGTCATGCAGGAATGTCTTGACTCCAGTGATGAAGGACAGATCATTTCCAGCCAATATAATGCCATCCACATAAATGAGAGCCACAACAAAGGTGCTCCACCTGGAAAGATAAACAAGGAATGGTCTGAAGGTGAAGCGTGAAAGCCATACTCACACAAAGCCGCCGTAAATTTATGGTACCAGTTACAAGAGGTCTGTCTCAAGCCATAGATGGACTTGTGCATGCGACAAACTCTGGTATCACCTGGTGCACGAAACCTGTAACACCCCACCCATAATCTCTAAGGTTGAACCCGTGGTTCAACCGCGCAGCCAAATCATTGGTGTTACTGGTTGAACTCGATCATCTCAAACATCATATCCGATAATTAAACACAAACATAAACCGTTATCATACAAACTCATTATTCGAATCCCAACCCACTTATTGAATTTTACAAAATGTGGGTTTATTATTCAAACGCTCAAAGCAAAACTCCTAGTTGACCATGACAGAACAGTGTTCCAAACTACCTCATGACGGTAGTACAGAAGGATAGGGCAGCCTCAGTAGTCCGATCCTAGTTGCACCTGCGAGCCTGAAAACAGACGTGGGTCAGCAACTAAGCTGTGTGTGTGGATCTTTCCCACGACCTAATTTTGGGATCACAATCAGCTAATCAAACAATCATAATCAATCATAAATTATTACTCTAGATGCCATCTTAAATCATCATATATAAATTACCGATCAAATTATCGAATCCACCAACTAATCATCACCAAATCAATTTATCCAATAAGATAATCACTTAATTTCACGAACACATAATCAATGCATGATATGAAAATTCCGGTTAATTATTAATGGCGCCAAGGTCACCATACACTTACCCCCGCTCGAGCAAATCATCATCCGTGGTGCTCATGCAACCACAACACTCAATCCGTGGTTTTTAACCACAACACTCATCCGTGGTATTTAACCACAACACTCATCCGTGGTGCTCATGCAACCACAACACTAAATCGCATAAGCGAGCTAAATCTACCCACTCTCAAGTGGTGAGGGTAAGTGCAGGCCCTTTCTATATCTACGTGAATTAATATGATCACGAATCAAACTATTTCCATTTTTCTCATCCATCACAATCAATCCGGAAAAATGTAGTTTTACGGATTAACCAGTCCATGTATATATTTCCCGTCGTTTATCAACTCGATGTTTCTAAAAAAATCAACTATTTCATCATCCAATACCGAATCACATAAATCATTTCATTCTCCAGTAAAGCTACTCAGCAATACCATGTCACCATTCCTCATCCAAACTTCATCAACAATATCACGAAATAGCGCCAACGCAAATAATTATAAATAACCCGGTCGCGGTTAAAATATCCTTAACTCAAAATTCACTTTCCTTCATTAAAATCCTCACACAATTCATGTAAATAAATTTATTGACACAAAAATCCATTAAATCTAGTTCTGGTCATAAAAATCAGTTTAGACAATAAAGTATCAAAAATCTCGTATTAACAATTATTTTACGGTAACTTAAATTTCAACAAAACGGTAGATCTAAAAATCTCCCAAAAACACAAGAACCTCCATTTATCATCATAAAACAGGTCTGTCCAGTTTTTATATTTGTAACGGCTCAAAACCATGAAAATAATATTACACTCGGTATTTATCGCAAATCTCGTATTAACCTCATTTTTACCGTTTTAAAGATAAAAACTCCACCAACTGTCTAATTTATCCTTTTCAGACCACAAACCATTTAATAATCCATACTGACCATTTTGAAGTGATCCAAATCTTAAAGATAAATAAAACACGTTTTTACCGAGCTTTTCGTAAAATTCACCGTTATGCAGTTTTTAATCCGAAAACCATTTTCAAGTGAAATCTTTTGCTCAATCTGCCCCAACCTCATTTTAGACAAACAAAAATCTCTTAGAGCAGTTTTAGACTCAATAAATCCAACTATTCATTTTTACGGTGAAACTTGTCAAATACCGATATTTACACCGTAAAATCCATAACAATCAAGACTAATCACCAAATCATCATATCAACAAATAAGTCATCACCCACAGTAATCCATCCATCCAAATATGCAAATCAAGCATAAATAATCGATGCAATAATTAAGATCCTCTTAATCCCCACACACCTTAATTTAGCCGATTCCAAGTCGGGAATTAAGTTCTAAAATTCCAGAGATTGGCTCCTAAAAATTCTCCTTGTTTCTACGGTCCTGTAGGCGAAAACGGTTCGTCGTTTGGACGTCAAACGAAGAAACTGCGAGCTAATCATCGTTAGTACGCAATTACGGATTAATTGTTAACTAGCGTGGACCCGGCCATTTGGCCGGAGGAAAGTAAGGTATGAAATTTGATAATGTAATGAAGTATATAGCTTAATTGTTGTATAGTTTTTTTTTGGAAAACACGTGATAAAAATAGTGAATTTTAGTAGGAAAGAGACATGAATGATGCAACGAATCAAAAATCGAGAAATTTTACAATGCTATATAGTATTGGTGCTATAGGTTTTTGCCTTTATGGTACAACTTAAAATTGTACATTTACGTTATGGTACAACTTCAGATTGTACCTATACTTTTTGTACAAATTCTTTTATGGTACAACTTGAACTTGTCCCTTTATGTGATGGTACAACTTCAAGTTGTAAAGTTGTACCATAACATAAGGGTACAAATTGCTTTATGGTACAACCTAAACTTATACATTTAATGTTATGGTACAACTTTAAGTTGTACATTAAAGCACCAATACTATATAGCATAGTAGAAGTGCTCTAAAAATCAGCCTTATGAACCAAAATCAAGAACCTGTTATCTTGTGAAATAATATTGTTTCTGGTAATATGATGAGGTGGAGTTTTATAGAAACTGAATTCCAGAAAATCGAATAAAAAATTGCCTATCCTGCTTGTTTTCGGGAAATTAGCATCTCACAATCGTTGCTAATTTTTACTCGGCCCGTTGGCCGATTAATTTGCTTTATAAAACTTTCATCTTGTCATCATTGTGCTTTCTGGTTTTTTGTCAAGCCATGATAAAATCTAAAGAAATCAAGAATGAACAACACGATTTGGGATAGGAACCACCGTTCCTGTATCCCTAGAAAATGGTGGTAAACACGGACTCACCTCCCAAACTGGTTTGGATTGAGATTTTTATCGGGTATCAAGGAACCATGTGATTATAAATTAGACTTGATCAAAACGGGCAAAACTTGAAATTCAGCCTATTTGACCGACCCATGCCAAACTCTAATTATTCTTTACTTTTAAACTTTCTATTTGAAAGTAAAAAATAATAAAAGAAAAGAGATGACTGCAATTCACCATTTGCACATCACTGATTCGGGAATAAAACTATAGAATTTCGAAAGGAAACTGAAAATGTTTAGGATCGTTTTAATGTTAAAAATAATCAAATAGATCTTTATGTTTAGTTTTTTACTAACAAATACCAAACCTTATAATATACACTATAATTAATCATTATGATATTAAATAATTACATAATATATATATTTGAAATGATAAAAGTTGGACTAATTGGGTTGGTCGAGGTTGAACCATAGAATAACTTTAAAATACATTATATTTTAGCCACTAAGATATAAAATAATAGCATAATATATATTATGCTAGAGAAAATAGCTTGTTTTAGAAGGGCAAACTCATGATGTTCATTTGTTTTACTTGATGGGCAAATCCCGTGTAGGTCAGGCCCATTTTACTTGATGTTCATTAGTTTATTGTTAATTTTTTTTATTTTAGCAATAAAAAGAGTATCTTTTTTGCATTTTCATATATATTTTACCCCACGGAGAAATAAAAGGACTTAAAGAAAAAAGTTGACACTCCTGAACCCGTTTAAATCCATATGTGTACGGTAAGTTAGCCCGTTCCACAGAGGAAAAAGAAAAAAATTGACACTCCCTATTCTACCCTTCCTACAAACGCTCCTGGAGCAGGGAATTTGAAATGGGGGAAGGGGTTTTTCCTCTATGCGATTATATGTTTTTAATTTAAAAGGATACAACAAATGTATTTAGTGTGATTGGTTATGATCTTTGCTTTTCTTTGAAGTGGTCATGGTTCGAATCCTAGTAAGTGCATTTTTAATGAATTAAAAAAATTAATTGTGAAGACCAAAATGTCCTTCCTACTTTTACTCTGGATGCAGGAAATTTGAAATCGGGCTTCAAGTTTTCTCATTTGGCTTTTATTTATTGTGTAGATTTTCTGCATGTCCCAAAATCTGCAGAAAACTGGAAATTTTCCTACCTCGCGTACCAACTTCCCGGCCTTGTTTCTCCCTCGTCTGAGCTCGGAATTCGATTCCGTAAACTCTGTGATGCTCGTGGAGACTTTCTCTTCGCAACGGTATCAAGCTTCGTAGCTGATACTACCTTTAATGGTGCTGGTTTGGCTGACGAAAAGGTTACGGCAAAAGTTCCGGCGAATAATTTCCGTTGAGTTGGTTTGATGATTGGGCTTTATAATCAGGTTTGTATGGGTTCTTGAACTTTGATGGGATCACAGAGAGTATGCTAGACCTTTGTTATCTGTCCCCTCTTTCCTTTCACTTCTAATTCACATATATAGGAGAGGTTTCCTCCAATGGTGGGTTTGAGTAAAGAAGAAGATGAAGGGAGGTGACCAAGCCTTTAAAGGCTATTCAAACTCATCCTCCCCCCCTCTTTACTCTCTGTAGGTGCATTGAGGGCTCTTTGAAGGCCGCCTTCATGGTTCAGAAGTGTAGTGATCAACTTCCAAGTTCCCACAGTAGGCACCGCTAAATAAATGAAGCTGCTGCCAGTGCACGCAGTCAATAAAGGTTAAAATCAAGCAGGGTGCTTCCATTAACATAGATAATAGCTGGCGCAGCTGGTTAAGCTTTCAGCTCACCCTTAGTTGCCAGGAGGTCACTGGTTCGATACTAGCAACACACCAATTTATTTTTACTTCAGTTTTTAATGGTTTGTGAGTTTCCGAGTGGTTTCACGGATCCTATCTCGTATAGGATAATAATTAGTTTTTTTTTCAGCCTCGAA